ATTCAGTGATCACAACAGTCTAATATATTATTTGCACCAGTAGAGAATTTGAATGTAGAATTTGAACGTTCTTTTTCGTATATTTGTAGCTGTCGTAAGATTTTTGTAATAAAAAAGTATTCTCGCTTTAAACGAGATTTACAATTGATTGAACACTAATTTACATGGTTTTACAAGAATATATGAAAACTGTTTCTGGATAATTTTCGATGCTCAGTCCAAATCTGCCATCGAAATATTTCCATCAAGTGCTGTTTTTGGGACATAAGAAAAGACTTTATTTCCACTATAGTAAAGTTTTATTGAAATTAAAACTAGTGTAATCTCTTGCTAAACTTGGTGCTTTTTCATGAAACGCATACCATGGTACATTTTTTGTCGCGGTACATTTCTTAAAGACGCATTCGCTGTTTTTGGGAAAACTAAAATAGGATGTAATGAGCCAAGTATTCTAGCAGCGATATCTACAGAGAACTACTTTTGCCATAAATCCCGAAGTTCTGGATTGGACTCAGTGTCCGGTTGCTGCGGAACACAAGGGCGCACTTTTATCACGATGAATAATGTATAAACCCTGCGTATATGTACGTTTACCGGAAACTGAGCGTCTATATAGAAATAATTAATTTCACACTATATTAATGTAACGCAATGAGAAAAGTTCGTGGCTTTATCAAACGGATAATAAGATACGCGGTGCTTGAATCGAAACGTTCGTAATGACTATTTAATTAAATGAAATAATATATTCGTAAACTAATTAAGAGAGTGCTGGGCTCAAGAGCTAAGGTGTCGATTACACAGACGGAATAATTACGTTCTAATTTCAGGAAAATTACAGTTCTAAATGGTTTAATATCTCGGGATTGCATGCATGAAACATAGCGATCAACGATACGATGATGCCACATATGGGCTGGAATTCATGGAATTATGGAGAATCGCGATATGAGAGTCCGTGAAATTTCTCATTTTCGTCGGGATTCGCAGACCGGTGGACGTTACACAGCGACCGACGCTATGTTATCCAGACGGTAGTATTAATTTTGTCAGATGATCATTAATAATACTCGCTTCGCTGCAGTCGTCGCGAGCCCGAGAGCGCAATGGTGAAACCGAGGAAAAATGATGATAAAAAAGCGCACGTAATATGCCTAGAAGCTGTATCGTATTTTAGCGACTTATGTATAATTAAGCAGATTACCCCTATCCTATTCGAGACATCCGATGCAGTCAAGAATTTTAATCGATGATTAAAACCATGTTTAATTAGCAATGTTTTAATTAATGTACGATATAACATAAACAAGAAATTCTGTCAAATTAGAAATACTTTCAGTTATTTAAATAATTTAATTAGGAAAAATGTATAATAAATTTGATTTATTTAATTTATTATTTATTAAGCGAGTAAGCGCGTACGTGAATATAGATGTTGTTTACTTTGAAACTAACCACAGAAATGGATTGATTTACATATAAATAAAAATAACAAAAGTTACAAATAATGAAATATTGTTTAATTCAAGGGATTAGATTACCATTATTTCTTTAATATCTAACAACGTTACACAATATTTTCTTTTATCCAGATTCTTTTGCGTTTCAGAAAAAGAGAGAGAGAGAAAAAAAAAGCGAGTGGTATTATTTTGAAAATATAATATAATATAATAGGAAAAACATTTCAGTTAATAGAAATATTATTTTACAATAAAATTTTTGTGTATCACGCTAATTCGTAATTTAACGCAACAAGTTTTGGAGTAGGTATTCATCGATACGCAAAATATGTAAAATGTTACACGAGATATTAATTTCCCTCGCGTGGATTTTCTTGAAAAGAATGATATATTGATGTTTCATTTTTATCTGAACACAGTTGATAAATGGGATATCGTTTGTCGGCTGCACGGGAAAAGGTAACACGACTCAAAAATGAATGAATAAAATGAAAAACGAAGCTCGCTCGCAATATATCACTGCCGTCATCGAAATTATTAATCGGCAAAAGTGATTTTCAACAGAAGTATTAAATTAAATAAATGAGATAGATGTGCATATAACATATTGCGGATACATATTAATATCCGACACTCTCGTGTCTCTCGGTAATTCTATGTAAATTGATATCGCCCTTTTTCCGGTACATTATCTCTGCTTGCAGCTTTAACCAGCTTCTCACATTCATGTTTCTCTTCGGCACGTTTGATGCGTTGTACATACACTGCATCGCTCGTACATTCATAAACGATTGACGGCACGATGCATCGTGGGTCCGCAATGGCGCCATGCTGTCATCGCGCGAGAACACGCAACAACAAATTATTGCGACCGTCATCCATGGGTCGCACGGGGCGTAACGTAAATCACGCGCGAATTAGTGACGCCGCCAATCCGGAATATCTTTCACGGGATGAACCAGTATCTCGTTTTATGCGACGTCGATGTCGACCATTTCGGCTGTCCATTGTACATGAGATGTATCGCCATTCCCATTCACGGTTTAACTATCGACAGCCGTAATACACAGTAATACGTGTATAAAGTATTGAGTTTTTGCGTGAAAGGATAAAAGTGAAATTGTAATTATTATATATCACATTTGGAATCAATAATGATAGCTTTTCGTTCATAATTTAATCACAAAATTATTTACTATTAAAATTAAAATAGGATTATATAAATACAATTAATTAAGTAGAAGCGCCATATATTTATATACGATCAAAGTTAGATGCGTTGGAATAATATATTTATGTGTTTTTAAATAAATTTATTTCGGATGTATGATTGCGCGCCAATTACTTTTTAATTTGGGAGAATTATTATTTTAATTTGATTGTGTTATTAAAGTCCGTAAGTAATGGGCGGTCATACATCCGAGATGAATTTATTTAAAAATACAGATGTATTCTATACAAAACATAGATATATTCGACATCTAACTTTGACCGTAATTGGCGCTTTTCTTACTTAATTAATGTATTTACTATAAATACAGAATACAAAAGAAAATTCTGAAAATTATTAAAATACGAAAGAGGAAAAGAGATGGATAAACACATATAAATATCACTATTAATTGAATATTTTAAGGTATCTTTCAAGCGCTAAGACGTTATACATGTAATTACAACATAATAATTACATTCAGAAACAATCAAATAAAATAATAATGAAGATAAAAATACAGAGAAAAATGAAAGAAAAAAAAAGAGGAAAAAGAAAGAGATATGAACATTTAGAGAATATTACACTACTTAAAAGAAATCTGCTTCTTTTTAAGAAAATACTTCTTTTTAATCAGAATATTTTAATCAGGCAAAAAAAGGAGATGCCAAATCTCTTCTTCATTTAGTACGCATCATTCGATTGAAATCTACTATGATTGAAATCCAATCTCCTAACTTTCTGGAATAAATATATGAGACGTAAAATAGATATTACGTATCATCTTGTCACGTAAATCATTGCGAATATAAAAAATTGACAAGTGCATGAATCATGTTTCGCCCACGTCGCGCAACAGAATTCTCGTGTAACGTACACGTTTGCGTACAGAACGCTTATAGAAAATTTGTAACATCGCACATAGAGACAAAGCGCGGAGCACGTGCAGGAAGGAAAGACTGGGGATTTCCCTATCGGGCGTATTTCCATCCAGATATCGACGCTTTCTGTGTGCAGCGCAAGCCGGAAATAAATCTCGACAGACTGCCACCTCGTGGTGCGCCATCGCGGGGGCTTTCGCAGACGCTGAAGAAGCAGTTAGATATCGCGGCAAAAGTACGCACATTGAGCTCCTTCTTCGAGGTGGCTTCATTGAATCGAGGACAACGTTTTCCTCGTCGACTACTGCCGAGTCAGCTATTCCATTGTCGCGCGTGTTTAAATAATCTCGAGCACCTGTCAAACGCGGCCAAGTGGATAATTCGAGAGCAGCTTCAAAAGCAGCGCTATCGAGTCTGCATTTTAACTTGATGACGGAAATAACTTAGAATTAACCTGGAAAGCACACGTGTCCAAAATCAAGATATAAAATACGTCTTAAATACGTCTTAAATGGGCTTTCTACAATAAACCCTCAGTAATCACTCGTATCAATCATAACATACTAGCGGTAAGTCAGAATAGGGTGTTCTTCATTTAGTGACGCAAGTCGATACAGGTATTATTCCATCTTTCTTGACATTCACTGGAATAACAAAGATAGAACGACATCTAATGGAAAGCATCCGTACAAGTCATACAAATCAAAAATCGTATGAAATTTACATCTAGAATAAAAAAATTATATTAGATCGTTACGTCAAAATAGTGATAGGACAAACAATGAATTATTGGTAATGTAATCTAAGTTTCAAATCGTAAGAAATGGAATTTGACCATCTCCACTGATTACTGACTTATTATCATTATGTCACATTAATGACTCGCTTACAGCTTGCTCCTGGCTTCTGATTTATTACTAACGTTTATTATAGAAAGATTAAAATACATCTTTAAGACATTTTACGATATAATATTTAAAAGACGTTTTAATGACGTCTTAAACATGTCTTTTGATTTTAGGTATGTCTGCAAACATCTACTCTAAATTTCTTGTATTTGTGTCTTCACCTCTTAATATAATTTCAATATATATATATA